TTTTCATCATTCTTTTTCCATCCATCCACTTTCCCTTCGTATCAAACAAAGCTTTTGTTTCTTTATCCGAGTGGATTCTTGTTGTCAAAGCATGTGCGCGGTGCGACCGTGTGGGTCAGAAAATGGTGAAACACACAGCCACGTCACATACTCTTACCCATTCACACTTTGAGAAATTTAAAAAATAAACAAAAAAAAAAATTGGAGAGGAAAACTCACTTCGAGAGAAGTGAAAATCTCAAATGACTCAATTCGAGAAGAATCAAATTTTCGTAACTTCTACAAAAAAGTTTAATACATTATTCAACATCTTCACTTCATTGATAGGAAGACCTTTAAATACAAGATAATAAAATTAGCTTAATAACTAACTTGACCCATAACTCCACTTAGTAATCATCTAGAAAACTATCCACAAAATATTTTATCAGTAATCTACTTACTAAAATAACTCTCTAATAACTACATTAAATATTACATAAAAATATATTAAAAATATGTACATAACATACTCATCATTACCCAAATTTCTTAAAAACTTGCCTTTTATTCTAGTTTGAAATAACCTACTTTATTGAAAATGCAGCAACACACACACATGCATGTATGGGTTCGCCTATTACGTTTTGTTCTTAGATGTCATTGTCCACAGTACTATGCTCCTGTCATGAGATTACGTAGTCTATATAACGATTGCTAGCTAATGGACTTTGAGCCATTTATTGAACGATTCTCTCGGTACCTAATTTGTTGGGATAATTTATTAATTTATTAATTTAATTTATTATAATTTTTGAATTAATTGTGGATCTTATAAAACATTAAAAAGTTGATGTTAATTCAACAGTTACAATAAACTCATACCATTAGATTAATAAATTCGATCAATTTTTTAGGTCAGTATTATTCGTGTTGATTAGTCTTTCATGCAAGTGGATTCACTTTTTGTTTTTTGGGTTCAACGGTCAAGAATATCTATGTCAATTTACGCATATCTCGACTAATCTCCTTCATAACTTAACCGCAAGAGATTATGTACGTCTTGATTTTGAAATTTGGGTAGAGCGGTTAGTTAGTTGAATAAGTTGAAGCTAAACTTAAAAGGTTTAAAAAAATCAAAATTTTAAAAAGTTTTAAAAAATTGAATTTTTTGATTATGTTTAAAAAATTATTTAAGTTTGATTCGTTTAAAAAATAAGTCGAGCCTGAACAAACCCACTACAAGTCAAACTCGAGTTTGTTGAATTTAAGTCGAATTTGTCGAACTCGTTTTTTTAAAAGAGCATAAAAAATTACTCAAGTTTGACTCTCTTAAAAATCGAATCAAGTTTAAACGAGCTAAAAATAATCCAAATTCGAACCGAACTCGTATAAATTAACAGCCTTACTTTTAGGTTCACAAAAGCAATTGAAGTTATGTGCCAAGTATTGGTTATGACTTTTGGGGTCATAATTAATTATTCTTGGGGGGTTTGCCCGAAATTATCCATAATTCTTCAAAATTGTTTGGATATGTTTTAAATTGATTAGACATCTTCAAATTGCAGTAGCTTGGCGTGAAATTACTTAAGAGATTGCAATTGTGTGTTTGGTGTTCTAAATTACTTCCAAACTTTTTTTTTAATGGTTCTATTTGTGTTTTTTTGTATACTGCAATTGCCATTTTGATATGTTAGTTATAAAATTTGGAAAAATAATTTGTGTAATATATATGACATTGAACTTGTGAACCATTATTTTTCTAATTTTTTTAAATAGTTACGAAAAAATAAGAAAGTCAAGGTTAGAATTATCACCTCCTAAATAAAAAAAATGGCAATTTTCTAAGTTGTGACCATCAGTGCCACAATAGAGATAGAATAATTATAAATTAATATTTAATTAAAAAATAGGGAAAAATTCATAGACATCTCATGAGTTTTGGCAATATTAAACGAACATCTCCTGACATTTTATTAATAACACAAAGACCCCCTAAGGTTTGAATTTATTGCATAGAGACCCCTATCTCCCTTCCGTCAATGTTCTAACGGAAATTGATAATTTTATCCCAAAAAAATTTATTATTTTTACAATTGTCTTTCTCCAAATTTAGTACTAAAAAGATAAAAAATTTAATAAAATCAAATAAAATTTGATTTAGTACCCAAAAATTTGATTTAATTTAGTACTCCAAAAAATTGATTAAATGAATTTCAATATTAATTTGATAATAATAAAAATTAATTTGATATTCGACAAAGTTAAATATAAATTGGATAAAATTAAATGTCAATTTTGATAAAATTATATATTAATTTACAATATAAGATTCATTTTGTGTTAAATATTATTTGGTGTTTATAGTCAATGTGCTATTTTTTATTTACATTAAATGTTATTTATAAATTAAGAAGCAAGTGATAAAATACATGCCGTTAGATATATAAAAACTTTGAATTAGTTTCATGAAATAAATAATTGCATAATATATAATTTTATTTGTTTTATGGAGTAAATAACAAGTGAAAATAACAAAGGGGAAAAAAAGATAATAGTACGAGAGATGGAGTATAAAATAGATAGATAGAGAGAGTTACATAAGAGATAAGAATCTTAGAGTTGTAAAAAGAATGAAAGTTCAATTAGAACCGTTGGATCAAAAATGATCTGAGTCGCGAAAAGTTCAAGACAAAGAATTTTAACTACTTTATTATATAAATTAATAAGTGGGTGGGGGGTGAGTAAAATTTGTCTATTTGTGATATTATATATACAAATATATACATATCACAGGTTTAGTAGGATAAGGCGGAGATAAGTTTCAGTCCATTCCTGTCTATATTCTCGCACGGAGCATTTTTGTATACATCTACCATTCAATACGTATAATTCATCCGTGATTCAAATAGAGTTAGTTTGGATGAATATCCATTTTTCTCCGATCCACTATCATCCCTCCTGTCGCCACCATCACCTTCACCACTCCACCACCAATTAGGGTCAAGGTCGGGGTTAAGCTAAAGCTCGAGCCCAAGTTCAAGGTTGGGGCTGACATTTAGGGTCCGTGTCTTGGGTTAGGTTTGAGTCCAAGGTTTGGGATTTGGGTTTAGAGACAAGTCTAGCTCGGGGTGGGTCCGGGTATGGGGTTTTGGTCCGTGTTCGGGGTCAAGTCCAGTTTTGGGGTTTGGATTCGAGGTCCGAGTCCGAGGTTAGGTTCGAGGTCAAGTCAAGTTCAAGTCCAGATCTAGAGTCGAGTACTAGTTTGGGTTGACTCTGAGTCTTGGGTCAGGCCCGGGTCTAGGTTCAGGTGATGGGTCTAAGGTTGAGTTTGAGCCTGGGATGGAGTCCGAGTCCAAGATCAGATGTCGTGTTCCGATCCGGGTCCGAGTCTTATAGTTATCCAAATATTTGAGTGGATTTTCAATTTTATTTCAGTACTTAATCATAATTGTTATCAAACATTGAAATGATAACATACATTTCATTCCTATGTTCATTCCATTCTCACTTTCATTCTATTATCATGTAAAAATATTTTTACGTACAAACCCAACAAGGGGTGTAAAGTTAGAGCTCAAAATTATTGGTTGGAAGGGAAGGGTACACCACCAAATTTATCTTGAGGTCTTAATTTAATTGGAAAATGCTATTTAGATTTTATTTTAGGACCTTATTTAGAGACCTAATGATATACAATTATTGGATTGGTTATAAGTAGAGGTGGCAATCTTAACTCATTACCCATTAATCCGCATAACTCGCCCATAAATAAATGGATTGAGTACTTATATTAATTAATATGAGTTCTAAATAGATTGAGTAATATGATTCATTTTAATTAAGTGAGTTAATATGGATTACAAATGGGTACCCATTGTGTTGAATATTTATCTTTTTATTAAATAGCACAAGTAATAAAATAAAATAAATATATTAATATACCAAAAAATACACACACTATTACACCAAAAAATACACACATATACACTAATACACTAAAATATACACACACTAGTACACCAAACATAACCCATGGGTTGACCCACGACTCACATATTGATCCATGACCCACGACCCATGGATCAACCCATGACCCACAACTAACTCATAGCCCACAATTGACTCTGACAGATTATGTGTATTTTTTTTTATTAAATATGTTTTAGTTTTTGTATTAGTATATGTATGTGTATTTTTGGTGTATTAGTGTGTATATTTTTAATGTATTAGTTTGTGTTTGTTTTGGTGTATTTGTGTGTATGTTTTTGATATATTAATGTGTCTATTAAAAATTTTAATTATTTTATGGGTTAATCGATTTAATCAAACCCATTATAACTCATTTACTCAATCTAATTTAACCCAACGCATAACCAATCCAACCCACTCATTTGTCACCTCTAGTTATAGGCTTCATCTAACATTAGAACTCATAATTAATCCTTTTTTTTTATATGTATTTTTTTGTGGAGGGGGAGGAGGAGAAGGGGGTTTGAACCCTTAACCTCAAGAAGGCAAAGCCTTCACAAGGTAAAGAATACCATTGGACGAAAGGTCTATTGGTATATAATTAATCCAATTGTTACATTAAAATCTCATCATTAAGTCCTTACATAAGTTCCTCAAATAAGGTCCCTATAGCACTGCTCAATTTAATTTAGATCCTCCGCTGGCCTATGGTACTCGGTAGAACCATTTTCCATTTCTTGTTCCTGTTGTGTATTATAATTATCACTCTAAAGCCTAGACTCTTCTTTTGGTTTGTTCATGTTGCCCTTTCAAATTTTGTGCCAGAAAATAGTAAGAGGCCAGAGACTGGGCCAAAATCTTGCGGCCCAGGTACAGGCCTCTGCCTTAGGCCACTTATATTTTATTCTAAAATCATATGTAAAATGGGAAAATATCAGTCAAACAAAGCACCTGTATTATAAATAAGGTAATTTTCGGCCAAGAAAACCTTCGGCCCTGGCACTAACCCGAAGCATGACAGACCGGTTTTTGTCTCAACCCCTAATATAATCAGGAAAAAGTTCGCCTATGCTTTTAGGTGCATTTTATTACCACAAACAATCAGTCAAACCAAAAACTTTCTAGTCAGGCGTTTACAACAGGTGCAGACAGAATCAGTAAAAAAACAAAAAAAGAACCATCATCCAGAAAACATTAAACACAAAGCATGAGGTTACCTCTAAGTAAGAGAAATAAAAGGTTTTACAATATATAAAAGTTCTTAACAGTTTTTGCCTATGTTATTCAAACAGGTCATGGAGGATTCTGTGTCTCCGACATTCCTATCAGATGAACCCTTGTGAAGTATCCCGAAAGAGCCACCACAGGAGATGCAATTGTAGACAGACAGTTAACTCCCCATTCATTTGTTGCCAATGTTGCTTCGAATTATCTCAATTCAGCTTGGGATGGGGTGCTCGATGCTTTGTCCTGGATATGTTGTTTTGCTTCGGCATTCTGCATATTTGCAACTTTTTCTGCTTCGGCTTGCTCAAGCAAAGCCTGTTTTTGCATGGCTTTCATCATCTCCTTCATTGTCTTCTCCTCTCCCTCAAGCTGCACCTTCATTATGAACTCAGCCTCCTTGTCAATAGGTTTGAAATACTCTTCAATCGTAGCTTCCTGTACATTAGCACCATTACTTAAAAACTTCGAATAATTTAAGGGATCAAAGCCAAGAAATTCCCCTTGAGAGAAAGGATAAATTAACTTAAAAAGAAATAAAGAAAAATACGAACAACTGGGCACCTGTGACAACCGCAAAAGGCCTCTTAAATATAATAAGCCCAGAAATAGATTCTGGCTATGACAAACTAAGGCATGATTCGTTTTGAAGTGGTGGGAAAAAGCTTTAATTAATAAATCCAGAAAGCACAAGAGAAGGCAAACAACTTGAGTTCCCTTTGAGTGACCTTGATTTCCATCTAAAGAAGCTCTTTACACTTGGAGAATGGGCATTCAGAAGTGATCACCATCAGTAGTGTGGTGCTTAAATATTCTTGATATTACAATCCTGAAGTGATTCTTTTCCTTTTCAGAGCGCTGAAATGAGATAAAACTAAACCAGAGGTTAGCTTGAGTGGTTTGAGTAATATGCCCTCCCATCCCCAAAGAGAGGACTAGGGTTCAATTTCAGGTTAGGACATGCCTTTGTGCACAATGTAGATGAAGGGTTGCAGAAGTAGCAAAAAATCTCATGATTCTGTGAAATTTTCAAAAGAATGCGAAGAGAAAGGGAAATTCACTGAGATCGAAAATGTGAAAACCCAACTCAAACCATGGCCGTCTAGAGGACTGGAAAGCATAGACAAGCTACTAGGTGGAAGAAAATTTTTTAATGGTGACCGACCAATCAGCAAAAGTAGCATAAGTTGATATAATCCAACCAATCCCCCTCATGAAGAGCTTCAGAACCACAAATGGCTTTCTCATGAAGAGAACTCATTCTCCACAAAGATTTCAAAAACATAAACATGAGAAAAAATGCATCAAAATCATTTTTTGAGGCAAAAATCACCTCCTAAATCCTTCATCATAGTTTTAGCAGCAACTGCGATTACCATCACTATTCCATTATAGTCTAGCTCCCACGTTTTGCCCTCGGGTAAGCAACTACTCCATCTACATCCAAGCTTCCCCATTCACTTCTATCCATGTCTAAGATGGCCCATCATGTGATTCATTCACTATATTCTAAAATTCAATACACACAGAACAATCAGTAAAAATAAAACATACCGTATCTTCTAACTTTTTATTCAACGCTTGCATCTCCTCAACCATTCGCCGCACCTCCGACAAAATAACTTGTTCCGGGATCTTCCTCAGGGCTGCCTTCCTTTCTTGTGCCTAGCAAGAGAGAGAAATAAAGAGAAAAATTACACTGACACTCAATAACTACGAAGAAAATTGACACAATCACAATGAGGATAAAGAGAATTACAACACTGAACGAAATGATAATTGGGAATGTTAAAATAAATCAATTAATATCTCTTCATACTCCACAGCAATTTCTAATCAGATGATAAATTATTCTTTGTAATTACAAAAATCCACGGCATATTTGACAAGAAACAGTAAGATAAAGTAGGAATTGAGATCAAATAGTGATTGAGCAAGAGAAACAAACCTGTTGGAGACGAGTTTGAAGCTGCAAGCGATAAGATCTGATTCTTCGTTCTTCGTAACCAGAAAGAACCCTAACATAGAACATAGCTTTCCTCCCAAATTCTCTTAGCTTATCCATCGTAACAACAACAACAACAACAATCAATCAATCAATCAATCAGTTTTCTTTCCTCAGGAAGGACATCAATTCCTTTCCTCACATTCGAAGTATTCTTCAAACAGTAATGAAGGATCACTTTCCGAGCTATGATCTTTGATTGTTTTGAAGCGGTGTTCAACTTCATTCTATTTCCCGAACCCATTATATCTCGGGTTTGTCCTGGATCGGGTATAGCCTCAGGGTTGAACGGTTAACTATAACGTTGTCAAAAACAAAAAAAACCCGACTTCAAATTTTGTCGTCCAGTACTTGAATTCGAATATTCACAGTAATAATAAGTCCTTGGGATCTAAACTTAGTTTTCAGAGTTCGCTTGGTTACTGTATTAAAATTGGATGAATTAAATAAAATAATACAATCTAACACAATACAGGTGAATTAAATATATTATTAGAATAATACATAATTTTATTTAGTATTTGACAATATACAATATAAGCGTTGGATAGTAGTTATTTAATTCAATCAGTTGTTTAGTTAGAAAATTATTTCTTCGTACTAATGTTGAATTAACAAAAATATCCTAAATCAATGACAGCTTGAATTTATCACTTGGAGGGTTATAATAGTAAATGTGTAGATTAATACGTTTGAGTTGCATTATAATACCACCTTTTTTTGTGGTATTAAAAAACCTCCGTAATACAGGTCTATCGTATAAAATTAAATTGAGAAGTAATATTAACTTGTATCTCATTGAAATATAAAATATAAAGTGAGTATATTTGAGAGTGTATGCAGCATGTGGTGAGCTTAGTTACTAATGGCGTAGGTATAGAAGAGATAGGCTTAATAGTTTGGTAATGAAAAATTAAATGGGGTGGAAATAAAAATTTGTGGGATGGAAATAGCCCCACCCAATAATATATAGCATACATTAGTATAATTCTATATAATATTCGTGTAAATTACGAACCATTAATTTTAAAATAAGTCTAAATCGAGAAATACTGATAATAAAAAAAACCTACATGTTTTTTCACCGTGCAAACTAAACAAATTATTCTATGCCCAACACTAAAGTATTATTCATGTTAATTCCTTTGTTTTTTTTAACAGTCATGTTAATTCATCTTATCATTTTCAGTGTTCTTGCCTTTCAGATTTATGTGGTCATCAAACCCGGCTCACCATTCTATCGACTAAATATTAAATATAATAGTGATACTATATTATCATTAATGACATAATATCACCAATCAATAATAGAANGTTAAAATTGGATGAATTAAATAAAATAATACAATCTCACACAATACAGATGAATTAAATACAAGATTAAATATAATATTAGAATAATACGTAATTTTATTTAGTATTTGACAATATACAATATAAGTGTCAGATAGTAGTTATTTAATCTAATTAGTTGTTTAGTTAGAAAATTATTTCATCGTACTAATGTTGAATTAACAAAAATATCCTAAATCAATGTTTGTTACATTGATGACAGCTTGAATTTATCACTTGGAGGGTTATAATAGTAAATGTGTAGATTAATACGTTTGAGTTGCATTATAATACCACATTTTTTGGTGGTATTAAAAAACCTCCGTAATACAGGTCTATCGTATAAAATTAAATTGAGAAGTAATATTAACTTGTATCTCATTGAAATATAAAATATAAAGTGAGTATATTTGAGAGTGTATGCAGCATGTGGTGAGCTTAGTTACTAATGGCGTAGGTATAGAAGAGATAGGCTTAATAGTTTGGTAATGAAAAATTAAATGGGGTGAAAATAAAAATTTGTGGGATGGAAATAGCCCCACCCAATAATATATAGCATACATTAGTATAATTCTATATAATAGTTGTGTAAATTATGAACCAAAATCTGCACAAGTATCTTTTTCTCAACAAAATCAATTAGACAAAAATCTCTCATAAATTAAAAACCTTGATCAAAATCCTAGCCATACTAAATCAAAAACCATTAATTTTAAAATAAGTCTAAATCGAGAAATACTGATAATAAAAAAAACCTACATGTTTTTTCACCATGCAAACTAAACAAATTATTCTATGCCCAACACTAAAGTATTATTCATGTTAATTCCTTTGTTTTTTTTAACAGTCATGTTAATTCATCTTATCATTTTCATTGTTCTTGCCTTTCAGATTTATGTGGTCATCAAACCCGGCTCACCATTCTATCGACTAAATATTAAATATAATAGTGATACTATATTATCATTAATGACATAATATCACCAATCAATAATAGAACTTCAAATGAGTAAAATAAACCCCACTAAAACTTACTTAGTAGAAGAGTGGAGAATTATTTGTTTACAGATCAGTTATTAATTTTTGTGACACCCATCTGCTTATTTGTTTTAATATAACTAGTTGGTAATATCATATTACCTTTTCATGTGGTATCAGTATTGTCATGAATATTTACTCCATTCTATCACATATAGTCAGTACAACTCAACTCGATAAAACTTCATTCCAATATTTTTAAGATCGACTACATAAATCATATTTCAACATTGTACTCTATTAAGAACCATGTTTTTGGGCTTCCCCTACCACCTATATAGTCCTCCTGCACTGGAGGTAAAATCTTAAGGTGGCAAGTGTAAAGAACCTACCAAAAAATAAAAAAATTCATACTGGAGATGGTTAATTTCAAGCTGTTTTCATGCTTCCAGAAGAAAATCCATTTATGTACACCATTAGCCACACACACACACACACGCATAATCTGTAAAATTTCCAACTATAAACACCATTTCAGTTTCTCCAGAGGGAAAAAGAAGTTCTTAGGCTACTGAAAAGGGTTTATCAAGTCCAAACTCTGGTAAGCTTTACATCTGCTAAGCCAGATTCAGTTTCTCCTTTTCTTCTTCTTTTCTTCCTTCTCGGATGCATTCTTCAGCTGCACAGCAAAGATGACAAGTCAGTATACATCCATTCATGGAGATAAGATGAGTAAAGTATGAACCCTCAAACATTCAAAGAAGTTGCTTAAAAAGGGCATATTCCTGCCAAATGGAACATTTTTCCTGTGCAATTGAAGCATAACTCACCATGATTATAAGGATTCGGACAAAGACAGCAATAAAATCAGTGAAAAGAGTCAGAGCATGCTTCACATAATCCAGATCCCCAAAGTGTGCTTTTTCAATTATATCCTGGGTGTCCACTACAATGTACCCGACAAAGACCAAAAGCCCAAAATACAACTGCAACAAAACAGAGGAAATTATCAGCACCATTTTTTTTGCAAATTTTCTAACCATTAAAAGCGGCAAATATGGCTACAAAAGCTACAAGTCCAATACCTCAAACTTGAAAAGGGCCATAGAGCCCCCAAAGATGGAAGATGCAAAGTGCAACCAGAAAAGGATGGAGAGCCCAGAGGAAAGAAGGGCCCCAAGGTAAAGGTACTCTCTACGCCTTGCCAACATGGCTGCTGCAGAGAAACAACCGAAGGCCACAGCACATCCCACAAATGCACCAACCAGAACGCTGCAAAGCCAAGCGGAAGGGGGAGAGTCTATGCATCAGAGGAAGTTATCCTAACCCTCAAATAAAGAAGCAATAAATGAATAATCAGAATGACACTGAAAATATAACAGTTTTTTTTTTGATTAGATAGAAATCACGAAGTTATAATTCCACCAAGTAGCCCTCTTAAAATATTAAAATCTAGGGCTTGAGATACAAAACATACAGCCCACATCCCAAGACAAAAGTGTATTACAGCTCCTCACAAACTGCAGGAGATTATTAGTATTTACATACTGCTTTCAATCTCAAAAACACCATCAAGCAAACAAAATATGCACATCCAACACTAGTACCATGCAACGTAGTTGCATAAATATGCAAAAACCACATTAAACTTTCTGGTGGACAAAGAATCACCATCTAGATGTTAATTGTTTTTCCAGTTACTGGAATGGCCTCAAAAATAATTATACATTAGCCTTAGATATAGCACAAACCCCAGAAGTTACAACAAAACTTTCTAGAGTTGAGTTGAGCCAAAAAAAGAACATGAAAACATCTAATTTCATAAGATCTGGATTAATGAATAAAGGGATTGGCATAAACTTAGTCCAGACAAGAAATTTTTCAAAAATTTAATCACATGGTCAAAGAAACTGGTTTCATCCATTTTTGGTAACTTGACTTAATTACAAACAAATTTTTTCTTCCCCTTTTGTAATCAGATCAAAAACAAATATAAAACTACAAATTATTAAAACAAAAAACTTAAACGTCCAAAACTAAATTTACTTCCACAACTTAAAAAAATTAGACCTTAGAAGAGTAGGAGAAAGGCACCTTGCCCATCAAAATCTGCAGATTATGTAATTACAGCCATGTGGTAACATTATCAGCAACCAAAACAAAGACAAAAGTCTCAAACTATAAACAAAGACAAAATATCACCACCTTCGAAAGATGCAAATCTAAAGCAATAGTGAGACTACAATCAAGTCCAAAAATTAATAGCAACAAAACTAGGACAGCAGATTATCTTCAAGAAAACATAGACTAACTCATTTCAAGATAAAAACATAGGAAATCCCAAAATATGACAGCTAAAGGACAAGTACCTCGGATCAAAGTCAATTGCCAATTCAATCAGAGGACCAATGGAGGCCCCTTGAAAGAGTGCTGCTGACATCAGAAGCCCAACCCTCTTTTGCTGCTCAAAGAAAACAATTAAAAGTCAAGATGAATACCAGCCTAGCACAATGAGCATAGAAACAAGACAACAAAAAGCAACAAAGACGAAACAGATTACCTCTTCATATGGAGGAGTTGACAAGAGCCAAACAATGCTTCCCATGCATGCAAGTGTTGTAAGGAGGCCACCAATGTTCCAAAGGATGTGCAGATAAACCCCAGCGGCTGATGCAATCAAAGCACAACATAGGGAGAGATAAACCTGAAAGAAGGCTTTACCAATTAATTGAAAAATAGAATTGTACTGAAGTTTAAAAACAATGTAAACTGAAAAATTCAACCAAATAATCAAATTAGCCATCAATAATCGATCAAAGCCATAACAATTTTTGATTTCCAAACGGTTGGTAACACCTTGGAATCGCCAAAATTATTAACATCTTTGGCGGAAAGCCATACACTCCGTTCAATCGCTGAAATAACAAGAATTTTGGCTTCTTGACCACGAATTTCATTATTTTCCACAAAAAAACCATAACTCCTAGGCCCTGGCGTCTCAAAAAATAATATCCAAAAACTGTTTTTGGAAAGAGGTTTAGAAAAGTGTGTTTTGGTGTTTTTTGTGGGACAAACTTGTTTGGCTAGTAACCTATTAAATAATGAATACAGAAATGTAGTGGTGGCGGTGGTGGTGGTGGTGTAGGAAGTGTGGTGGTGTTGGTGGCCGTGTTGGTGGTGATGGTGGTGGTGTTTCTAAATTCTGAAAAGGTTATTTCCAAAAACACACAAAACATTCTAACTTGTTCTCAAATAAATTTATCCACTACCCACTTTTTGTGCTCAATTTTCAAAAAACAAAAATAAAAAAACAGCTAACCAAATAGTTTTTCCCCAGAAATTATTTCCGAAAATATAAAAATAGTTTCTAAGATACAAATCAAATTAGGCCCTAATTTTTATGCCCTTTCAATTTTCCTTAGTTTCAATCACCGAGATCACAATAATTGAAACGATCTTCATCGATTTTTATAAATTCACAAAAGCGAAAAATCAAAATGCAAGAAGATCAACTGAAACCCTGACACTTGATTTACTGGTCAATATGTGGTAGGAATTTGCTCAATTTCACCGTAATTGTAAGCAGCATAATAAACAAAACTCCATAACTCTCCTTCCTTCATTTTACCAGTAACCACCGGGGTGTGTGTGTGTGTGTGAGTGAGAGAGAGAGAGGAACCTGTTTGAGATGAGTTTGCACGATAGGAGAGATCTGACGGAAGTTCTTGAGAGAATCGTAAGTCCAACGGTTACGAGAGGAAGAAGCCGATTCGAAGAACGATGTGAAGGATTCCATTGTTGGATTTGCTTGCTACCAAAGCTGTTGTCTCTGGAATTGAACTTTTTAGATGCCAGAGCCAGAAGCTTATCTTGATTTTTCTATTTTTCACACTTTGCCCCTATTTTTGCATTTTATTTACTAAACTTATCATTCTGGTCTGGAAACCAGGAAACATTGACTCTGGCTGGACCATGAATATGGGGACATATGTCCTAGTCCCAATTTCATTTGGACTTCCTTATTTTTCTAAATAGGTTCGAACACATTTTAATCTTTTTGAAAAATATAATAAAATTGACAGTCCAATACATTGAGTCGTAGGGGGAGGAATTGACAATTCTAACAGATATTCAATCGTATTGACATGGCCCCATGAATTCAAATGAAATTTGGTTACAAACCATAAAAACATAAAACATTTACAAAAATCCAAAGACCTTTCTAAAAAATTCTCAATTATCGAGCACAAGTCTTGAAAAATATGCTTACATTTGATTCCCTTTTTCGAATTTTCTTTGCAATTGGAACAACAGAATAAAAGTGCAATTTAAGTAGACTAACTATATTACATTACAACAACAAAAGATGAAAAAGGACTAGAAATTTATAAAAATAAAGTTGTTCATGTTAAACCTTCACAAGTCTCCGGCTGTCTATGTGAAAGATGGGTGGTTCCAGAGTCCAAGCTAAACCCTTGCCTAAGAAGCCTCTGCTTTCTTAAGGCCTCATGGCATGGAGAAAAAAAATCGTGCCTAAGAGCTTCCTCTGCGCTTATCCTCTGTCTCGGATTCACTATCAAACACTTGTCCACCAGATCAACCAGCGACCTTGGGATTACCTCTAGAAAATCTGGTCTCCTTGTGTTCAGTTTGCACCAATCTCGCAGTTTCATGGAAGGCAAGGATTGTATATCCAGGAGGTCCTGTTGTCAAAATGGTAATGCTCAATACACGGCAAATGCAATGTTTATGCTATGGCTAGTAATGGATCATGCAATGGTAGGTTTCTAAATCAACGTGTAAATCGCATCGTGCTAAAATTTATTCAATTTATCTATGACCATCTATAGTCATGCACAATTGATTAGTATCTTGCAGGTCTAATGTAGTATATAAATCGATGTTCAGGTAGTTTCATGTTCAGTCGGCTTTGCAACGATCTATTTATGAAGAGAATGGTCAGGTTAACTCCTTTAGATCTTAATCAACTAACTCTTGCCTACAAATTTTGTCTGAATCACGTGATAATAGTTATAGGTCCTAGAATTCTTGCAATGCATTAAAGTTTTGAACTATGAATACCACTGGGAATGAAGATTCACGGTTGTGTAGCTTGGCCACTTCCCATAGATCTTCACTGCCCCTTAACTTCGCAATGTCCTTTATGTTCCTGGCAGTGACAACAGGGTTGACAAAATCATATGAGGATACATACTTTCCATATTGAAATGCTTTGGAATAAAGAACAAGAATCCTCACTGCTCAGGGTCACCGACGAAAGGTGTTCTTCCAGTCATCAAGTAGAGTAAGGTGACCCCAGCTGACCAAACATCGACCTTGGGGCCTTGATGTGGAGATCTGATTAACACCTGCGCAAAGCACTCATCATTATGCTCTCTTCTGGTGGACAGTCAAACAG